CCTAGTTTCTTCTCTAAATATTTAATAAATCCACCTCTCCTGCCAAAAATAATTTTCTGTTTTTAGTAAAAAATATAAAATATAAAAATTTGAATTACCAATTAAAGAAATTTAAATAAAATTTTTGTTAAGGTTGATTGAATCTTCACCAATTACAACTAATTGGTTTTTAACGCCATGTGAATTTTTTCAATAATACAGTTGTCCAGCAATATGTTCAGATAGTGTTTGGTCATCTCTCTCCTCCGATTTATTTACAAAATGGAATATATATTTTCAACCAGGTTAAGTACAAACACTATAATGATCTTCCTTGATCTCTTTTGGGTATAGTTTACCATCATTACAATTGACAACTATTTTTGCAAGGTTCTTTCGACCATCAAAAATTTTACATTATATGGCCTCTTCCTTAACTTGAATGCTATTTTTTTTTTACAGGCCTCCTTCACTCTATGCTCTGATCTCTCGTTTTTTTTTATTATCTAGATTTAAGTTTTTATCAGGTTAATGATCTTATAAAATATTGGCATCCTTGGCTGCTTTTAATGTTGTAGTACCTATTGATGCAATTGCTCTGATACTTATATAAAATCTTAATGTTGACAAAGCAATGTGATTAACGTTTATGGTTAGTATCTAAGAATTTTTTGGTATATCTGGTAAATAAGCATTGTAATTATAATTATTCTTCATTATAATAATTCTTTATTCTGTGTTCAACACCATTTTGAGTTAATACATCAGAACACTGTACAGCCTCGATTCTGATGCTCTTTATTTTGTTTCGCACTCTTGGTGATTTTTTTTGTCTTAATAATTTTTTTTTATCAACAGAACCTATTTGCATTGCGGTTTTAGAACCAACTTAATCCTTCTGCGACTTTGAAAATTGAAGTTTAATATTAAGAATTTAATTTTCCTAAAAACTTTTGCTAAGAATATAAAAAATCTTGTTGCAGCCATTTCAATCTGATTCTTTGCATGATTTTATCAAACATTTACATCAAGCTATGTCAAACAATTTATCTTAAATCAATTTATAATCAGAAAGTTGCTTAGATACTCCCCTGCTTAACGCTAGACAATATGCTTTTTTCAAGTCATTTACATATCATTATTTTTTTTTATCAAAGATAATTGGTATAAGTGGATTTGATTTTTCTATTTTTATTGCTTAATTTGCATTTTTTCACAAATTTTTAGAAGTTTGCCTTAAATCTTTATCACTTTTTTCTAAAGAAGAGACCATATCTCAAAACGTCTCTTAAAGTTGGTATTTCTGACTTTAGTAAGGTTTTCCTGCATTGGCTTCGTTAGCTTACAACTTTATCACGAGTTTTTCGAGCCATTATTTACAACTGTACACTTGATTCTAAATAATTATAATTACATGTGTTATTATTTCTTCTATTTATTAATTAGCAAACTTATTAATTACCCATTTATATGGTAAAATACCCCCTAGTTGTTATAACTTATTTTGAAATCTTTATTGTTAAAATAGATGTAGTTTAAGACTGATTTAATTAAGAATGGTTTGAAGATAATATAAAAATAATAATAGAATGGTTTGAAGATAATATAAAAATAATAATAGAATGGTTTGAAAATAATATAAAATTAATATAAAAATCAACAAAACACTAAGAAACCAAATTGTTTAGATAAAAATAATAATTTCAATCTAAAAATTACCTGATTAAAGAAAAAACTCGAGAAAAAAAAAAAAAAAGTGGGATTAAGTTCTCAGTATTATATCGTCCAAGACATAAGAAAAATAGCAAGTCATATTTAAATTCAAAAACTTTTCAAAAGTGACCCATCCTAATTAATAAATACAAAATGCTACAAAATCATTTCTTACTAAGTAATCTTTTTGAATACTTTTTACTAAAATAGTTTATTTCTTAAAAGTAACTTATTTGAAATTTTCAAAACTTTTAAAGTTTTCAAAATTTTTAAAAAATTTTTGCATTTATAATGCTATAAAGTATCAATGTTAAAAGTATTTAATACATTAAAAAAAAACCTTGATCAGCTATTAGTTATCAACGCATTCTCCATTGAGAAATAGAAAAAAACAAGCGAGAAAAAATGTAGTTATTTATGGTATTAAAGAGTCTACTAAGCAAAGCCTATCCACTTCGCGAAACTCCCATTAATTGATCAAAATTGCATTCTGGGATGTCCTGCTGGACCTCTTCCGCAACAAACACAAATAGTTTTTTTTTTAAATTAATAAACTTTGTTGCTAAATATCTCAATTTTGTATTCAAAATATCTCAATTTTGTAACATTAAGATACAACAATTTTGTTAAGATTACCATTAGAATGTTTCAATAAAAATGAAATGGGGAAGAAACGTTTTTTAGAACAAAAAAAGTTTTGTAGAACAAAAAGTTGGTGTAACTTTTTTAGAGCATAAAAGTATACTATTATACATAAAAGTTATTACCATTATACATTAACTAAAGTTATTAATATTATACATTAAAACATTACAAAGTCTCATTACAAAGAATTAATTTGAAAAAATAATTTCATAATGTACCAAAGGACAATACATACAAAATTTTTGAAATTGACTTATTGGGTGGATTTTATGAAATAAAAAATTCTTGTAATAACAAAAAACATAGCAATTTTTTTTTTAAGTTTTCAGAACATTTTATTACAAAAAAAAAAATAATTGAAAAAATAGTTTTTTTCAAAAAATAGAGTTTAATTTGTCTAAATTGTAAAGAGATTGAATGTGTTGCCAAGAAACTATTTCACCATTAATGTCAATGTTATGTCTTCGTAAATTGTTTCTGATACTTTATACTAAATAGCGAGGATCAAAATTAACATGAATATTTTTATCATTGGAAGAATTAGGAAAGTATGTTAAATTTTTGGAAAACCCAAGCAAACGTAAGGCAGCAATATTAGTAGATCCTTGATCACAAATTACACTTTTGATGTTTAAACTTCTTGAACCTTACGATTGGTTTCACGTAGTAAATAAGCCAAGTCAGCTGTGCTGCTGTTGAATAATTATAAAAATAAGGTATTTGGTTGTTTCAATTTATTTGCCGAGCTTATTTATTATTATTTAAGAGCCTGATTTAAAAGTTTTCCATTTTTCATACCGTAAACCCTGTTAGAATTTTTATCATACTCTAAATGTTGCTTTAACGACATTTCATTTATAACAAGACTGGCAATCTGACTGACTGACGATCAAGCGGATTCATTACATCAACATGTAACTTTAATAAAGAAAACAATCGAGTAGAAAACCCTTCTTGAAGATCTGAAAATACACAGGACAAAAGTAATAATAAACAGGTTTGACTTGGTAAACAGAATATCTTTCAAAAGACACTAAAAGTTTGAGGACTATGAAACAAAATTCGCAGTCAAAACTTTGTCACAAACTGTCCAGCGTTTTCCTTTATTGACTCGTTTACTCATTTCTAACTGACTTTTAAAAAACTAACTTGTATAGGTGATAAGTATTTTCTGGATAAATTTAAAATATGTTTTATAAACCCATCACAGATTTTTTGGGTTTTTTGTTTAGATTTTAAATGTTGAACATGTTTACATAGTCTAGAATTTGTGACTCGCAATGTTAATAATAACCTTTGAAGTTTGTTAAAATATATTTTATTAGTAGACATTTTGTTCTCTAAATTACTATCTGAATTAACAGGTAAACAAACAACTTGCTTTTCGCTGGAACTGAATGATGTCAACTGGTGGTTTCCTTTTGCAACTAAGAAGTGGAGGAGGGTTTGGGATGTTAAAAATAATAGGAATTGCTAATTCTAACAAATGTTTTCCACAATTATTTGCAATAAAAGAATATGTTTTAATATACTACAATAATATACTTTAAAATACTTTAATAATATGCTTTAAAAAACTATAATAATAATTTTATAAACTTTTTATGAAAAAAAAGTTATTATAAATAATATATGAATTGCCTTTTATCGTCTTTAGGAAAATGAAAAAATGTAATAACCACAGTTTATAGCAGCACAAAATGATGTAATTGTTATAACTAAGATCAAAATTATTTAAGGCACATACAAAAACAACCATTCGCTACTTAATGTTATAAAATTCTGAGGTCCGGCAGAACATCCCAGAGTGCTTTGCAACAAAATTACAACGAATTCTATGAAATTATGCCCGACTGGATAGGCTTTGCTACTAAGCTATCAGATGCAGATAAGCAAGTCGACAATACGGAAACGGTCCAGAACAAATTAATTAACATTGCATCTGATGCAAAACAAATGTTTTTAAACGTATGAAATCTAATAATATAATCAATTCCCAGCAAAAATGTCAGCGTTGAATCAACGTTGAAAACCGGTCGCAAAAGGTGTTGCGGAAACGTTGACAAAGTAATCGATTTTGCTAAGATATGTCACGTTGTTAAAGAGACGTTGATTAAACGTTGCAGCGTAACGTTGAAAAAACGTTACAAAAAGACGTTACAAAAATGTCTTAACTAAACGTTGAAAAAGCGTTACTTAAAAAGCGTTGCATAGGCGCCGCAACTTAACGTTGAAAAAACGTTACTTGAAAAGCGTTACTTTAACGTTGTTAAAGCAGTCGACTTTGCAAGGATTTGTAACGTTGGTAGTAAAACGTCGATTTAACGTGACTCAAAGACATCGAGTAAAGGTTAAAATATAACGTTAAATCAACGCTCAAATGCGCTGGAGAAAATATCGCAAAATATTATTAAACGTGATTAAACTTGGTTATAATGTATATTGAATTTGCAAATAAAACAAAATTGTAAGTTGAACTCTGCACTTGCAATATTTCCAAAGTCAATTTTTAATACAATTAGTAATATACAATGAAATCATAAAAAATATACAATTTATTTATATAAAATTTACAATTTATAGATAAAAATATAAACATCTTTTTTAAGATTTATGTGTGTGAGTGAATTTACAGGATTTACGTGTGTGAGTAAAATTTATGT